TCAAGGGGTCGATAGTCACCTAATCGAGAGCATCCTGTAGCAGAAGCCGTCGGGGTCTCTCCCTGAAGCCCACACCGATTCAGTGAAGTTAACGGTCTGAAGTTGGAGACTCGGTCCGGTGGCTCTTCCTGTCTGTGATGATTCGGTGTACTATTGGCTATCTGGTGGTTCGGGCTGTATTTCTAAAAGGATGGGGCTCGATGCTACGTGCAGACTCACATGCATACACTCTCTGCTTCTGAAAACTTAGGGGGCTGTCGTTTGTAAATTGTTAGGGGAGGTGCCTGTAATAGTGTTGACCCGTACCGACACGACCGAAGATGAGTATTTTGGTGTTTAATGTGGAAATCGTTCCAGTGAGGTCACATGCCACGTGTTAAAAGACTGCCGATAGATATTTTCTTTCTCCTCTTTCTCTAAAACCTATGTGCTCAACTTTGCATGTATGCATCTGCACTCCAGGCCCATCATCTCCATTCAACAGATGTTTTGTGTAGTTTTGTAACGTTTACATTGAACAAACAGACATTTTTCATCATCTTCCTCCCACATTCCAGAAAAATTATTCTTACGAGCTTCACAAAAAGAAAAAAAAAAGTGTGGGATGGTAGGGAGTGAATTCCTTCTGCATTCAGCTGAATTCAACATGGTGGAGCTACGTCTCTGTGTGTGTGTGTGTGCGCGCAGAGGGGCAAATTGTTAACTGCATTATGTCTCAACTGAAATGCCCAGTGTAAACACTACAGACTGTATATGTCTGTGATAAACACTGACTATTTGCAAGCCTTTGTCATCTTAGATATCCACATGAGCAACGCTGCAAAACAGGTGGTATGTCTCTCAGTATCAGCACATCATTACATCACTGAGTGAAACTGAAGATAATAAACCTTTCTTATGTAAAGTTAAATAAAATTTCCTTATTAATGTACATGTTCTATCAACTGTCACCAAGCAAAATGTCATAAGTGTTATACTGAGGCTTACAGAGGTTACAAATTCAACATCTGTATAATCTGAAATATGACAGCTTAGAGTGAGGACTTGGATAGTGAACCGAGATCGAGTGTTTTCCCTGCAGCTTCTCAGTCTCCACTTAAGAAGAAAAAAAAGTATACTGCTTTCCGTTCCCATTTTCCCCGCAGTCATCAACAGATGTCGTCCAAGTCGGTAAGTCTGCTCCCAAACAGCTGCTCCTCATAAGTCAGTATCTGACGCAGGAAGTTCACATTGGGGGCTGTGCATTCCCTTTTTTCTTTGAAACTGCAGTGGACCAGGCTCAGACTTAAGTGCAGTGTTAATGAAGCTGGATGTGAGTGGCAGTGCCTCCACCAGGTTCTAGTAGCATAGTGATTAAAATAGCATTAGGACTGTCGGCAGTGGTGTTGACTACATGTGTGATATCTAGATTCTCGATAATTCGATCCTCCAGGATTGCAGTGGGGGCTTGACTTTCAGGTTCATGCAGAGGAAAGGGTAACGGGCATGTAAAGCTGAGAATTCTCCCAGCATGATGACAAGGTCCATTTCTAAAGCACTGAGCTGTAAAAAAATCAGGATTGGAGGTCTGGGGAGTCGGCCCTGACCTTTACACCACCCACTGAAATATGCAGTGAGAAACCTTGAGACAAAAATGCAGATTCAGCTAGATACAGTCAGCATAATTCAAAGAGACAAGCAAGTTTACCTCATCATAAATATATGGCTTTCTTGGTAATTCAATAAGGCTGTAGCTCAAAACAATGGTATCAAAATAAACCTATTCACCCTAATTTTACAAACATGCTGATGCCTAGCAAATACAGTCTTGACATTCCCATCTAGAATGCCATACTGCTACAATAAGCAAAAGTATATATGTGCATGTGTGACCTGGGCTACATCATTCTCCGCATACAGTAGTATTGTGGAATATTTTTGCAGCTCTATGCAGCTGATTAAACAGCCCAGCTCAAGGTGTATCACTATCACAGCATCCTCTTCATCACCAAATGGCTCCTTATACCTAATACTCATATTTATTCATAATAAAGACATAATTATTATGTATTACTTTATTCCATGTTAATCTTTAAGATTAGCATGTTTATCTTTAAAATGAAAATTCTCTTAATTAACTGTTGCACTGCATCAGTCAAGGATAAGACTATAGTAGGGGTCATGCAAAGCGGGCTGGTCACCCACTGCATTCAGAAGATTGTAAAGTTGCTCACTCAACACAAACTGTTCCTGGAAGAGCAGGAGCCAGCACAGTCTCTGGCTCACACACTGAAATAGAAAGACTACAGTGTCTACATGCAGAGAGAACTGGCAATAAATATACCTGTTTTACTTTTGTTCCAGATAGGTGTGATGGAGGAATAGTTACTGTCTGTACAGTTACCCTCTCTGTTGGAGATTCAATTCACAACGCTAATTCACAACAATAATACAAAGAAAACAATCATAAGAAATCCCACAAGAAAGCACTTTGGTGACTATGGAAAGGAGAAAAAAAAATCCTTTTTGGAAGATGGGATGGCTATCTGCCATGGCCATGACTGGTTAGGGGTGAGGGGAGGAAGACAGGACTAATGACATGCTGTGGAAGAGAGTGTCAGGGATTAGTTATAATTAATAATTAAATGAGGGGAGGTGTATGAACACATATGTGAACAAACCAAAAATGTGACTAAGGAAGAAACACTCAATGCATTATGGGAATCCCCAAGCAGCCTAGTCCAAACGCAGCACGACTAATGGAGGATTCAGGGTCACCTGATCCAACACTGTTTAATGATTTCTTTGAAGTCTTGTTTTTTTTTCAGGGTGGAAAGATTTTACAGCATACATCTTTATTTAAGAATAGAGAGACTTAAAAAAAATTAAGTCCTCAAATTGACATTTATTTTTGATTTTCTAATCCAGATGGGCTCAAAAGTATATATACAACCTCAAACATATACATACTCCCCCACTAATATTTGGTTAAAGTACCTTAGGAGGTTACACTTTTTTATAAAGACCTTAAAGATATTATACCCTGGAAAAAGAACAGCTCAAACACAGACACAACAGCATTTACCCGGACGGTCCTACAACTATTTCCTTTAAGTTATTTGGCAAATGCATGAGCTGTTCCCTCTAGCCCTTAACTAGAAGAACATGCTACACACACACACGCACACACACACACACACACACACACACACACACACACACACACACACAAATAAACATCAGCAAATTTCTCTCAAAAAGCCCAACAAGAGCTGCTACAAATCCTCTCTCAACGCTGCTTCAGGCTTGCCCTTAATTCAGCTGGTGGTCTTGGAAACACAGTAACATAGTAATATATGAATCTCCTCCCTCTTCACTTTCACCTCAGCCACTGCCTCTCCACCTCTCACCCTTTGTCCTGTATTGAAGATACTCCCACTTCCCCCTCAGTGTTTACTGTCAAGAACCTCCACAGACTGCATTTTGTTGACCCTAGTCAGTGGTTGTTTACATATCCAGTTTTGCATTTTATCACTGCCCTTTGAAGTTTGTCTCTTTATGGTTAGTTGTCAGCTGAGCAAACCCTTGTGTTGTCCTCAGGTCAAAAATGACCCCAGGTGTATGGCAAACAAGTGTATGGGAATCCCGAGGACATTACAAGGGTTTTAAACCAATTGCAGCTGGTCTACAACATTTTATTGCCTTTTTTGTTGCATGACACAGATAACCTGATACAAACCCTTGTTTGTTAGGTTGTCTGCATTTAAGTGTTTCAAACATCAAGCTCTTTTTATGTTTATTATTTCATTTAAAGTTTTCCCTGATGGCTTCTTTTTTTCCACATGCAGTGCATTGTACCCGTTTGCAGAGCAATGATTATTATAAGAACTACAGCTAGAACACAAACTTTAACTGAAAGAGACCATTTTCTGTCATGTGTCAATACCACAGTCTGTCAGCTGTGGTACTGCAGCATTTTTGTTTCCATTACTATGTATAAGAGGATTAGTAAGGAGGAAGTGAGGGTTTGCTTTGCGAGTGCTGGTAGAGAAGTACAGACAAAGTCAGACGGAGGTGCACTGTGTCTTTGTGGATCATAATATGGTGATGAGAGAAACTTGGTTGCTGAATGAGGAAGTCAGGAGTGTCAGAGAAATACGTAGTATGCATAAGGACAGAGAGAAAGTGGCTAAAAGAGAAGGTTCAGATGGTAGTGAGGCCTGCTATCATGTATAGTTTGGTGAAGGTGACAATAAGACAGGAGGCTGATCTGGAGGTGACAGAGCTGAAGATGTTTGCATGGTGTGACCAGGACAGATAAGGAAACGAGTACATGAGAGGCACAGCTCACTTTGAGCACTTTAGAGCCAAAGTTAGAGAGGGAAGGTTGGGATGCTGGGCATGTGAAGAGGAGGGATAATGGATATATTTTATGTAATGTTTTCATTTCAAAAGTAACAAATTACCCAGCTATCATATTACTTTAATGAAAGAAACAGTGGACTGAGAAAAGGTGGTGTGTTTGACTGCCCCCTGGTGTACTCTTGAGTCATTTAGCACCAACAGGATGACTTTGCTGAAAGTCATTGAAGAATATGTGAGCAGTTTTCACACATTTAAACCATAAAACATTTATGGTTTAAGACATATTAGTGTTTATAGCAATACAGTTATAAGAACCCCAGAGAGCACAGTGCAGCAGGTAGACTCTGAGAAGCAGGGTACAGAGCATCCTCCCAGTTTAATGAATCTGTTTATTCAAATTCACCCTTGCACAGGCGGTCATGTGGTCGTTAGCCAACGAAAAGCCGGAGAGGAATGTCACAAACAGTTGCCAAAGCAGGAGGTGCAAAGGGTACTACTTCACCTCAAGCAAACTGCATGAATGAAGTTACAAGTCTATATTTCTTTAAATACCAAAATAAAAGGCGGACGGGATACGTGTGCGTTACGAGGATGAATTATTATTATTATTGATATAATCGCATTATTACTGGTTGTTGTAGGAATGAATGGAAGTGACAGCAACACAGACGGAATGGCTGGTTTGGAGGTTGAAGATGAACTATGACTTTATGACGACAACAAAATGGTGAGTAGATGTCGTTTCTCGCTTTTTTTCCTCTCCCGAAAAGAAAATGAGTTGCGCTCCTTTTAAATTTGTTTTGCTATAGTTTGTCTATACGTCTTTCTTTTCTTTTTAAGTTTTAAAGCAGCACTTTTTATGATCGGGCTTCAGTTCTGCTGATAGGCTGTTAAAGCTAAACGCGCCTACTAGTCCTCCGAGGTCTTATTACATTTAATACATATTTATTCTGCGCTTTATGTTATCATTTATTTGACTTTTACTATTATGCTGTATATTTACAGACTCATAATTGACATGAGTTTTATTGAAAAAGAATATTCTGGTCTAAAAGGGGCGCACTGTTAACAAGGAAACTACAATAGCAGACACCGATTTTCGGACATGCCACACGGAACATAAACAACTGAAAAGGAACAACAAAACAATCAGACAGTGTATGTAATTGTGATGTGATTGTCCCGACTACAATACATGTTTAGAACACTGTTTGAGATCATCCGTAAATAGCAAAGTTAGGTTGTTGTGAGAGGAAATAACGTTTGCTCTCACTACATGGACTTCAGGTGGGAAATCCTGCAATAAAATAAAAAATAAATAAATTTAAAAAACACACATCTTTTGGATAAAAGATAATGCTGTTTTTGTTGTTGTTGCTGTTTTTTTTAATTTAATCTAATATATTGGATCTTGGGAACCATATAAAAGAGTCAGGAGTTGCATTTAAAATGCAAACTTGCATTGCAAACGAAAGGTTATATATCCTCCAATGTAAGTTTTTTAAAACATTAAACTCAGAACAAAATGAGAAAAAAAAACATTTTATAAGTTCATTGTTATCAGTGTGACTTTATGGTTTATGTCTCTTGTGCACAGTTCAGGGAGATGGAGGACGAGATATGCCTCGGCTGTAAGGTGTCTTTCAGCGCATCATGCGCTGAAGCCCCTGGTTGCCAGTCTGGTCCTGCTGGTTGTGGTGATATATGGTCTGGGCGACAAACTCAGAAACTTTGTGGCTTCCATTTTTATCCCTCAGTATCGCTACCCGTATCCTGTGGCCCTCAGCTTTGCCCAGGTTGGTGTCTGCAACTTTTGGATTTTCTTCTTTTGGACACAACCAAACTCTGATTAGAAAGGATAAGGTCAAAAATACCTTTTTACAAATTAGTATAAATAGTAATTTATATAAGTGAGAAAAAAGGTCATGTGAAGCCACTCAAATGCTTTTTAGTTTACACAAAGCTCTGTTTCTTGACCGCAGGGTATTTGCTTTGCTTCAATTACAGGTGCATTTATAATAGCTTTGCCAACATCAAGGCAAATAATGAAGTTACATATTGCAAAAGAAAAACGTAGGAAGTTATAACAAACATTCAAATGGTCTTTCAAAATGTAAGCTTAATCATTGGATTGTTGTTAATCATTTGTGCCGTCAGCTGTGGTGGTCAGTGAAATTCTATCAGTAATTGCTGTTTGTGCTAGTTTAAAGGTGAAAGCAGACGTAGAGGGAAGTGACAGAAGGACGTTATTGCTGATAACACGTGTGCAGGATAGATGTTTAACCAAATTATTGCCCAATGAACTCAGATGCAAGTGTGACGCTGTACAAAGGTGGAATTAACTTTTGGGTGTCCAGCTTTGACCTCAACTGCTGATATATAGGAGAGGTGCTATACTGACTAAATGGTCAGTATAGCACAGTATAGTATGGTCCACAAGCTAACATTGCCCGTAACAACTGAAAATGAGTCACAGGACCGGTTGAGTTTAGTCCACGTCTTATCCATATGACCCGCTTTATATGCATTTTGTTTATGAGGTCCTTCAGAAGAATAGTAAATGTGTAGGTATGTTGCAGCATATTTATCATAAATTCAAGAATGTAGAAATCAGGATGTGTTAGTGAAAAGTCAACAGCATATGCTCACACTTCATTAGGTACACCTTGCTAGTACCAGGCTAGACTACCCTTTGCATTCCAGACTTCATTGTTTGTTGGACGGATTCAACAAGGTGCTGGAAACAGTCCTCTGAGATTTTGTTTCATATTGACATGATCACATCGCACATCAATCCTGTTTCACCACATCCTAAAGCTGCTCCGTTGGACTGAGCTCTTATTAACCACCAGCTGAACTAATGAAGTGCCCCCGAGTGTAAAATATTATTGTGCAAAGAATGGCTAATTGTAATGTATTACCCACCCAATAAACTACAGCTGCTTGAGCATGAAATGACATAAGCATTTATTTCACTATTAGTTCATAGTGTAATAGTGTTTAATATCTCTACAGTTAACTCATTTACTTGCTAACCTGTTC